ATTATTCCTGACCGATCTTTTCTGGCCTTTATCATGGAGAGTTCATCAATTTGGCGCCTTCCCGAAATCTCCAAGGCAGCGCGGTCCCGGATGAGCATGAGGGGGCTTCCCGCAATCCCAACAAGTTCACTCAGGCCGGACACTCCCCCTTCTTCAATGGTAAGAGACTTCTGGATCCCCCAAGTCTCCGGAGATGGTCAGGTATGGCTTTCCCTGTCACCAGCGCTCAGTTTCAGGTGACTGCTATTCTGCATGTAGATTTACTATGCCAACACAGTCACCGGGCAACTATCTCGTGATCTACCGTTCGATACGGAGGATGAGACGTTTGATTGTGATCTTGCAGGCTTAACTTCATCACAATCGAGCTCTCGTGCTGGCACCGGCGCTGGTCTCGGTTTTTCTTCTTATGGGGATGTCAACGCTCTATCCGTCGTGAATGATCCTTCTCAATCCCAGTCAGATCTAGTAAAGCCCGTCCGACTACTCTATACATCATCATCTCATCACCCAAATAACCTGACTGGTACTCTGATGGCTCCCGTTAAACCGTCTTCACCAAACTTTCTCGCAGACCTTCCACCAGGCCGCACTCGTGCCCAGACAGACTCTTTTGCTCTTCCCTCGAATCGTCATACATATCGTATTTCCGGCGGCCTCTCTAGTTCGAGTCACCAAGCACTAAAGAGGAGTCTTACTACGCGGGAGAGCTCATCTACTAGTCATCAGATGTCTTTGTCTATGGATCAAGATCCTCGTCTCTTGTCGTACTCTCACCGTCCGCATATAGCCAGAAAGGGCTCTCAATTAAAGGAAGCTGCCACATTATCCGTGCTTCCCCATGTCCAGGAACTTCTGCCAGACGAAGATTCTTCTTACCTCCTGACTGCAATACCATCTCTGGAGGAAGTACTTTCTCCTCATCCACCAGAGCTCATTTCTGAATTGCTAGATCGATCTCAAGAAGCTATTCGCTCTGTGATTACACATTTGCAGCAGTTTGGAATCCCTCGCATTGCAGATGACGAAGTGGTCGTCGATCGCCTCATAGGTGCTACTATCGCTTCAGTTCGTGACTTACTCTACGTCTCTGGCCCTTCTTTCGGTCAAATACCAAGCCATCTTGTTCCAAAAGGATCACAAGATCAACAGAGCACGAGCACAGTGTCGCATACGTTACTCGTTCCTGCACAGCGTCGAGCTATTGCGACACTCTCGAAGTTTCTACTCTCTGCGAGAGCGATTTTGAACGACGGTCCTTGGAGCGCAGCTGACAACATTGGAAACCTTGCAACTGATGCCACAGAACTTGAGTGCTCTGTTGTCGATTTCGTGTCTATTACGCAAAGTTGTCGTTGTGATGAGTTGGATTGCGACAAGGGTCCGAGACACTTGCAGGGATACTTCTCAGCGCCACATGCAGGACTTGGGAAGGCCGGGGCCGGGGCTGCTGGGGCCTGGAAAGGATTTGGTTGGGTCACCATCGATGGCAATGAGGAGGCTCCCCGGCGAAGTTTGGACAGTGCAGTCTTAAACGACATCGTGGGGCTTGTGCTGCAGGTACAAGACAAATCAAATGAATTCATTGAAAGCTTACGCGCTTCTGCACCTGGTGGGTAAAGTCCTGCAAGTTCGCGTATTTCGGTTGAAAATCTGCTTCCGCAGCCGGCGTGGTAACGTCAGCTGGCTTACAAATGATGAGTCAGTTGTCATCCCTCCTCCATCACCTTGGCGATCTGCATGTCGCTCGGCATGTCGACATCGAACCGGTGGATCAAGCTGAACTCAATGATGGTGCTCGATATCTCCGGACTGTTGAGAAAGCCAGAGTCCTCGTACGGTCGTTCGAAGCCACTACTCAGGCTGTATATGACGACGGTGCTGCACTACTCACCACTACCCAGAGGATCCGGCATGTAGAAGAATCTGAAATGTGGCGTGGTCCGGATGAACATTATGATACTCTTGAAGCGCTGAACTCCTCTTTGGACTTTAATCTTCAGGTTCTGCGACAGACTCTCGAAAGTCTTCTTGTCATTGTACAGGAACAGACAGATATCCTTGAACGGAGTAACAAGAGCCCTATTGAGTGGCGTATGTCACAACGTAGCCTCATCACAGCAATGTTGGCCGAAGAGGCACTTAACAGCACGAATGACGACCTCTACGATACGAACAATGACGAAGCAGATGATATCCTCAGGAATATTGCATGTAGCGATAATACTGCGGCTATAGCAGAAATACCGGCTACGCCTGTAATAAATGGAAAATTACCCCTGATATCCAATACAGTACCATGGGCTGACCATGAAGGCGAGTGTTCTTCTGTTTTGTAACTATTGGCACAATCTGACTTGAACCACAGATCTTCGCACAATAAGAACTCCCCCTCGACAGGACAAGATAAGGGCATTTTTTGGTGACGATGCGCCTTCTCACTATCTCATCGCCCTCAATGCCGAAACAAAACCATGGTATCTGAGACCGACGTATGATCCTAGTGATGTACTAGTTGACCCTGATGGAACTACGCGAGGCGGAACTGTTGCAGGCCTAGTCGAGCGGCTAACCGCTCATGAGTATGCTGGTAAGTAAGATTTCGCCAGTAGAATCTCCATCTCTCTTAAGTGCAGATTATAGATCCCAAGTTCAGCAAAGCTTTCCTGATGACTTACAAGACCTTCACTACACTTGATGAATTATTCAGGCTGTTGGTAAAACGCTTCTGGATACAGCCTCCAGAAGGTCTAAACGTCCCAGAGCTGGTGGAGTGGCGGAAGCTCAAGCAACAGATTATTCGTATCAGGTGAGTCACGCCATTGTCTCAGACCTTGTAGCTGAAATATTTTAGGGTTATTAACACCATCAAATGCATGGTTCAAGATGACGACGTGTTGGAGAGAGACGACGCGTACATCCTTGACCGCATGGTGGAATTTGTTTCACGTGATGAAGTCATCACTCTACCTGCGGCAAAACAGCTTATGGTGATCATTAAACGTGCTGTGCGTGTTGGATCAGCGTCAGGGTTGCAATATCTGAATTGTGGAATAGCAGCGAGGGCGTGATCCAAACAAAGTGACGATTAGCACGGCTCTAGATCCACCACCTCCGCCAATAGTCCCTAAACGGATGGAGCTACTTGATATTGATGCCTTGGAGCTAGCAAGGCAATTGACCATCACAGAAAGCCAATTATACCAGAAGATTCGACCTTCTGAATGCCTTTTGCGGTCCAAGGAATCGAAAATTGACCACCATGACAATATCGCAAACTTCATTCGCCGCAGTAACAGGGTAAGTTTTTCACTTGTACGTGGTTCGTGGTTCACAGATAAACCTATTTAGGTAGCCAACTGGGTTGCATATGCCATCCTATGCAAAGACGAACCTCGCAGACGCGCTTCCATCATGAAACATTTCATCAGTATCGCTGATGTTTGTTTATTTTGTTAAAATATAGTGTTCTGCTAACGTCTTTCCTATAGCGCTGCAGGCACATTCAGAATTTTTCGACTATGTTAGCCATCGTGTCTGGCCTAAACTCGTCACCTATCCGTCGGCTTAAGCGCTCTTGGGAGCAAGTGGGCACCAGATATATGTCACAGCTGGAAACATGCGAGACAACGATCAATTCTTACAAGACGTTTAATGTCTATCGATACGCCCTTGCGAAAGTTTCCCCGCCGTGCGTTCCATTCGTTGGTATGTAGTCGACGTTACATCTGTGAACGCGAGAGGATTGATCCCAAAACAGGTGTTTTTCTTACTGCCCTGACACATATTCAAGACGGCAGTAAGGATTCCCTTCCCAACAACCTGGTGAATTTCCGAAAACGCCAGAAGGCTTCAGAGGTAATCCAAGATCTTCAACGCTGGCAGACTCAACCGCACAACTTCCATCCCCTCCCATCTGTTCTTGTCTACTTGGATGATGCACTTGGACAGTTTGGCGACAAAGATGTCAGCGATGTCTTCTGGCAGCTGAGCTTAGAGAGGGAGCCGCGCGAAAAGGAAGAAGAGAGACTTGCAAGGATGTTGCATGAAAGTGGTTTCTTTTGAGTTTTGCCAGAATTATTATGCTATCCTGACGTCTTACTATGGGTCCACCAACTCCTCTTGCATCATCGTATTTCATTAGACACCAACTTGAACATACTCTATTGATAAGTTATCTCAGTTACCATTAGATGGCATCCCTCCAATATATTTACCAGTCCAGGATTTCAAGAGCTGAAACCTCATACAACAGTGTTCATTTGCATCAAGGCCACCTTTGTTTCATTGTCTGAAATATTTGGGTAGGGGATTGTTAGTGCTGTGAAGAGGCACAGTATCCTGTGGGTATGATATATCAGTTGTTTTGATCAACACCTGACCATGTTACATCAGTGCTGTTGGCCTACCACAGGCCACCACAAGCAATATATTGCAATGTAGGATATACTTATCATCATGGACCAGTACTACATCACCCATTATACCACTGTCTACTTGTAGACACGATCACAATCTTGCAGCTTGATTGAGACTGTCTTTGTTTCATGATTGTGATCTTCCTGCGAGAAACTCACCGTCGGTCGTGGGAGATTTGCGGTCTGGTTTGCGGTCCCAACTTCCCGATCGAGCGGTGGCGGTGCCTGGACCCCTGGCACCCGGCCGCGCGTGCATGTTGAAGGGAAGGGACGAAGGAGGTGCGGGTTCGATCGAAAAGGGACAGGCGTAAGAGGAGTCAGGACGTGGTGGGAGACGGGCAGGAACTCAACATTGTGGAGTAGGCAGTGGCAGAAGCAGCTCGAGCAGTTAAGCAGTTAAGGCAATGATATGCAACTAAAGTGCAACATACTTGCAAGGTACTCTACTGGTAGTTCAGCAAGACGGCATGGAGCCGTCAATAGAGAAAGAAAAGAAAATGGGATGGACAATGAAGGAGAGAGGCTGTTTCAAAGGTGGTGTGGAGTGGAGGCAATGAACAGGCAGAGCATGTAGTAGTACAGTACTAGTAATCATGCTGGCAGTGATGATGGGTGCCGCTGTGGCAGACTCGGATCTCGTGAACCCTCCCAGCGCTGAGCGAGTGCAACGTTGACAGTAAGCAACTCCCTCCACTTGCGAGCGACATCGACATCCTTGCTCATCAGCTTCGAAACACCAGACTTTGCATACCTGAATATTCCTTGTGCATCAGGGTGGTCGAGGTTGCCATCGAAGAACGAGCGTGCAGCGGCAGCATCTCGTGTGTCACGAGCCATGCGTTGACGCTGCAGAGTGTCGCAGAGCTTCGTGTATCCGACACGCTGGCCATTGGTGTCCGTCCAGGCCATCTAGAATGCATCGTCCGATGCGAAACGCGAACGCTCCTCGACGATGAACTGTGGTTTGAAGAAAAAAAAGAGGTGCGTCAGTTGTTTCCGAGTTGGAACTGCAGGAACTTACCTTCCACTGCCCCCACTGCACTTTCCGCAGTGCCCATGCTTTGCTGTTCTGTCCGGTGCACTTTTTGTACACATCCCCCCAGAATTTGATGGGGATTCCGCGCCCATTCACCACCAGGTACGTTGAATTGTGTCACTCTCTGAACAGAGCACTGATGTCCGTCGAAAAGCGCACAGCTGGTGGTGGCATGACTGTGGTCTTGTCGAATGCCAGCTCTCCATCGTCCAGCTGAAGAATGGCGAGATTGGTGGGTGGGATGGATTGTGTGGGAACAACGGCTGTCTCAGTGACAGAGGTAGGCATTTTGAATGGATGTTCAGCAGAAGACAGTTGCATTGATGCAGCAAGAGGGCGAGGGTATGCTGGTTGAAGTGGTTGCTGAGAAACCCCAGCACTGAAAGCATTGAAGCTTGCGCAGAGGAGGGGAGCAAGCTCACGAGCAATTCGGTTGCTGATCCCCATCTCGAGGTCATTCACTTGCTCGACAAAGGTGTCTTCCAGACTGGCAATGGTGCGTTCCAAGCGCCTGAAGCGCAGGTTCAGGCTCTGTCCATCCTGAGTTAAAAAATCAACTTGAAGTCAGCTGACAGCAGATTAAACATACAGACACGCACCTCAGTAGCTGACTCATGGGCAGGATACACAGTGCCTTCAGGTGGCAGATTGGTGTGGGCCGAGAATTGTGGTGTGAGTGAGGTGGGTTGCTCTGTAATCGACAGGGGCACATTCACTAATTGCACTGCCGCAGGCCTGCTCTGGGCACCAACTGCTTGTAGTGCATCAGCCGCCTTGTGGATGGGCCCGTTAATGGTTAGTGATCAATAAATAAAAATATGAAACTCACCCAGGCATCATTGTTGTCAATGTCAGCTGGTGTGAGACTCTGCACCACACGGCCCCGTTTGCTCCTGTGCTGCACCAGGGTCAGTTCGTGCTCCCCAAATTGGGATGTGATGCGCTGTGCAGACAATTTTGCTGTTTGCTTGCCTGTGTAGCTGCCTCTCATGCCTTTCTTTGCAGGCTGGAACAACCTGCAAATAATGCCGAGCCAGTATGAGCTAGCATGCTAAGACTCTGCATCAGGAAAACATCGGCCATGAGTTGCACTGTGCAAGATTACGTAGCACTATGTAGGCCATGTAGCTCAACAGAGCCTCCTCATATGATACATAGCTCAATAGAGCGCCCTCGTATGATACATATCACTACATACAGCCCTGTAGCTAGTGATGTTCCGGCTCGGCTTCAAGCCCTGGGCCAGGCCAAGCCGGGCCAGATTGAGCCAGGCCTAGGACACAGCCTGACCAGGGCTTTGGCCCAGGCTTCAATTTTGCGAAGCCTAAGCTGCCGGCCCAAGCCGTGGCTTAGCAGTGCACTATCTATTTTGGTATGCAAGTTTCTGTTTATGTTTATGTTGCCATCTGGCGATGGGTATCAGTTTCTCAGTTGATCCATACCATGAGGTATGTGAGAATGAGATCACAGTGAGTCGCCGTTGTCATGTTATGAAAGCTCGCTGATATTTACCCCGGTCTTGAAAAGCAAACATTCAGCAATCCATGTGCCTCTACAGTCTTGCCTGGCACTTCAACTTTGAGCGATTAGAGATTGTATGCCCCCTCGACGCTGCACTTCAGGTATCTGAGTTATAGTATTCAGCGCTTACTCTTCTGGGCGTGCAGAATTGAAGCACTCGAGTGCTACTGATCATCCATCTCCTCTCTCTCGTTCTCATTCTCCTCCTTGTCTTCTTCCCTTCTCCTGCTCTCGTCCATCGTCCGTATTCGTCTGAGCCACGTCAGCAGTCGCTGACGTGTGCTGGGCGTTTGCGCATGGTGTTCGTGGTGTTGGGAACAGCATGGTGGAGCTCAGACATCAATTACATGCAATTCAGCATGTGGGCCGCGGCTTGCATGGGCCTAAGCCCCGGCTTTGGGCCGGCTTGGGCTCGCGGCTCAGGCTTGAAATCTGGTGAGCCTAAGCCCCCCCAGGCCGAGCCTAAGCTGGGGCTTTGAGCCCAAGCCGGGCCGGAACAACACTACTTGTAGCATACTTGGATGCCAATATTAGCTATGCAATCCCACCTCACTCATGATAGCCAATGTTGTGCTATATACCCAATATCATTGCTCCTCAAGCTCTGCACAGCCTGTACTACGAGAGGCGCTCAAATAATTCTAAATCAATATATCTGTTGAGGTAAAACTCTTCTGCCACCTCTCAACTGATCTGGGGCGCGAGGTGAACTGGCCGAAGCACTCGGTCAACTGGTACAACTGCTGCATTGGGTCAATGTTGCCGTGAAGACTTGGTGAGTCGAAAACTCTGTAGATTTTTGTCGAAAGTCTGAAGCAGGCGGAACCAGTGAATATACACCAGCGGGCATGCAAAATGACCCAGACGTGGTGGCAGGTTGAACATGAGCTTTACTTCGCCGACATGAAGCCCTATTAAGAATGATGAGACTTGGCAGTATAAATGCAAAATATCACGACTCACCTGAGATACCCTCACCAGTGTACTCCTCCCGATTTTCGATCACAAGGACTGTATCATAGCGCGCAGGAGCCAGTAATTTCCTGGTGTTTTTTGGTGCAATCTCTGGTGATGCCCGGACCTTGAACACACATTTGGTGCTGTTGAAATGTGGTCGTGCAGGTGAGACCACCTTCACATACTTATACACGTCAACACGGTCTTGCAGTGTCAATTTTCAGCAGGGCTGAGTTCGCAGATTGTGGCGGAGAAACTGTTCAAGAGCAGGAATGATGAGGGAAGTGTTGTGGTTATCAACTAACTGCTGAAACATCGAGTTTGGGAATGGGCATGTCCTAGGGACAAAATATCCGCGAGATGCTGTGAACATCGTGAAACGATGTATCTGCTGAGGTAGGTCTGCCACTCATAGCTGGTGGTGGTCAGCTGGTGAAGGTGTCTTGTCGTCAGAGCCAGAGTCGATACTGGAATCCGAGTCCTGTGAGTGAGAATCATTGTTAGCGGGATGTTGTGAGGCCCGCCAACGCAGATAAGCATCTTGAAGGTAGATAGATTCTTGACAGCATAGCCACGTAGTCATTTGAATAACATAATCATGGCAATTGGAAGCACGATATGGCGAAATCTATGTGGAGGTGTTCAGGAAGCTCCGTGTTAAAACCGTCGGCACTCCCAAACAAACAGATTGAATTGACATAGTGTACCATCGAGTGGATTTTCGGTATATTGAAGTGCTCCTGCACCCCATGTTCAACAAAGATGTTCTTGTTGGCATGGAACAACTCCAGTGTGGCTTGCATGCAAGACAGGCTTTCTTCAGTATGGGACTGGTACTATGCGTAGTAAATAAAGTCCAACACTCCACGTACTGACGCAAGTACTCTGTTGTCAACAGCACCGGCAATAACACAAAGGAAAACGCACTCCAATTCCCTGTAGTCAGCTCCCATCCATTGCTTGCGTTTCGAGATACCTTTTTTGAAGTGCCGTAATCTGGCGTAGGAACTCATTGCCTTGAAATGTGCATTGAGTTCATCCTTGCTGATGATTTTCGAGCACCAGCTAACAAGATGGTCCTTGAATACACCCTTGTGGAGTTGGTGCAGGATGTCAGGGGTCATGCAGAGAAAGATATCATTGTGGGGGAGAGCGGCCCAAAAAGGTGAGTAAATTGCCTGCAGACCCAGCTCACTCTCGAACTGATCACTGCTCATTTCACCCTCAGAGTGAAGCCATAAGTTTGCCATTGTCGTGTCTTGTCTCCGTGGCGCTGACTCTCTCATATCTCCACGGTTGTCATGTCTGACAGTGCATTTTGGACACCTGTTTTCCATACAGCAGGCAACGAGACATTGCTCTGGAAAGTTGGCAATGTATGCTGCCACGATTGGATACAGGCGCTGTACTTGATGATCTGGGCAAGTAACTTCGACTCCCTTCTCACCTGCACTGACCAAATGTTCTAGCACTTGTCCCATGCAGTAGTGGAACAATCAGTAATGTTTGACTGAATGAATGTTTCGCGTGAAGCACTCCAGCTTGGATATGAGTAAGTAGGCGATTAGGATGGCTGTGCGCTTCGATGGCTGACGTTGAATGTCTTTAGAGATGTTGCCAAGTGTCAAGTAGACGGGCCATACTTCCTGATCCCCACGGAATTGCAATAGAGAGGTTTTATCTGAGGCCAGGATCACTGGCGCAACAACCGCCCCTTTGGGTAATCTATGCTGTGAGAATGGACTTAGTGTGTGTTTTCCTTATGTATATACTACACCTCAGCTTACCTGCATTTCCCATCACCAATCTCCTGTCCACATCTCATCAAACACCTGCGTCTTTCCCTCCTCATCTGCAAAGACCCTTTCTGGTACGTATGACACCCCTTGATCAAACTCTGGATTGCTCATAAACTCGCAAATGCAGTCTACTGGGTTGCACAACCACAACTCAAGGTCCTCCGTCTCACGCTGCCCATCATTGGCAGTTCTATTGCCCACCATGTTGATCTTCTTCAGTTCCCATTTGGTCGCACGAGGAAGTTTGTCGATGGCTTTCAGCAGTGAATATTTGCTCGTGAATGAGGTCTTTATGTGGCTAGTCTATGTCCCTGTGAGTGTGTGATCCGAGTGAAGCGATAGCGTGAAGCTGACTTATAATTGGGAGTTTTAGAAATTCATCTATTGCAGTGTGGCCAACACACGAGACCAACCATTTCACTAACCCCCACTCCTCCTCATTGGTAAACGGCGCCCATGGGTCCAGGCCCTGAGCCTCTTGCTGGGCTCGGATGTCCTGGAACATGGTTTCTGCTTGGCTGAGTTTTTGTGTGACTTGCCCAGGGAATGAGTGGATGAAGCGCATCCAGGTTCATTCTTCATCTTCCACCTCCTCAAGCCCAACATACTGATCTTGTCTTTGCAGGGGTCTTTGCGGGCCTTCTCGATTGTCATTGTTGCCATCAGGTAGTCCGTCATCAAGGTCCCAAACTCCATCAATGTCCATAGGTTCTCCAGGTTCGTCCAAGTCACCTCTGGGTGTCACCTCTTTGCTTATTTGCTCACACTCATGGAGCCATTCCATCTGATGCTTACAGGCTGCTGTCTTGCTGATATGGAGGCTAACAGTGCCTGCACTCTTGAAGCTGCCTTTGAGGCAGAAGTTACAATGGTACATGGTGGTTGTGTGATAAGCTGACAAATCCAACACAACGAATCCTGACGTGAGTGACAGCGACAGTTCGATCAAGTCGCACCTAGCTGACTTAGCAAATCCAGGTGCACAATCGGGACATGAAAAATTTCATCTAAGATCACTACCAATTGCGCTGGGGCCATCTTCTGTGGTCCAACACCATGTTCGTTGGGTGAAGTTGGGGAATCCAAGTAGAATCCCTGGACATGTGCTGAACTTGGTGCGTATTTGGTTGATTCAATATCAGTGGGCAAATCTGACTGGAATCCCTGCAGTGATCCCTGATCACACTGATAAAGGCACATACTCTGTTGATTCAATGCAAGTGCATTGTTGATGTTGTGTTTTCTGTTGATTTGTTTGTAGGATGACTGCACACGACACTATAAAGGCCTCATTTTTCTTCTTAACAACTCAACCTACTTATCCGTCCTACCTCCAGAATGTCTTCTAACGGCCCCACTCGTCAAGCTCTGACACAAATGATTAACAATGGCCCTGATGTAGCTGCTTCACAGCGTCAATGCTGTGACTGCCAGCCCTTAGAGAGAGCGCTTTATCAAGGTCAGTTCTCATTGAGTATGTCCTGCTAGACCGACTACTCACTCTGACATATCTAGCTGAAGAAGACCAAGATTGTGAGGTCCATTGGCAAAATGGACAAGGTAAAATCAAGCCAACATGTAAAAAGTGTGTTGACAAAGGTGTGTTGTGTGCTTCCATGTCATTGTGGTTCTGCTAACTATCCATGTTCAGGTCATGATGGCGCCCAGGTAAGAACCTGTTGATTCCCTTGTGCTATTTAACATTAATCATTTGACAGTTTTCATCTCAAAATATCAGCCTGTCAAAAGGCAGTGTGCTGGCTGATTCCCTGCTGGATTTGAGGCCTCAGTTTAGCAGGGTCCCCCCCCAAGACAAGCACCAGCCAGTCCAAACCTCAAGACGAGACAAGCACACCCCAGTGCGGACTACCCAGTCTGGTGGCTGGTATGATGATGTCCTCACCAAGGTGAGTTGCATACTTAAGTTAATATCTAGCAGCACACACTGATGCTTCATTTGTGAGGACTCTGGATTTATCAATCGTGAACATGTGTCCAATACCAGTGTATGTATCATCGGCATCATGTCTGGTTTCATGCACTGATCGTCCAGTCAAAGGCCCCACCTGCACCTCGCAAGTTGACGGCTGCTCGTGCGAAAGAGCTTGTGCGGCTCCGACAGCTGGAATCCGCCAATACTACTCAAGGTGACTTGGACAATGACTCGGACAAGTCTAACAACGGACATGAAGATTACAACGAATATCAGTACAACAGTATTGACCATGACACGGGCGATAGTGACGTGTTCGTGGATGGAGATGGGGAGGACAGTGCTAACTGTGATGGTGAGTGATACTATGTTGCTCACACACCACAGCTGAATGATTTTAGGTTTGCATAAGTGTCTGCGATCACCCTCTGATAGCAAGGGCAACAGCCACAAACAGATGCGCGATTCTGAGGACTCACCTTCATCCCAGCAACAGTGTTTGCCACAAAAAATCCAACAGAGTAAAGGCCGAGTTGCAGTGCGTGATTACGAGGTAGCTGTGCAGCAGCTAATTGAATTTTCCATTAGCTCTTTTTGCACCCGCCTTGCTTCTGAGTATGCGTATCCAGACCACATGACTCAAGTATTGTGGGCAAAGGAGGCATGGAAGGAGGGATGTGCATCTTACGAGATCGAGATAGCCTTCAATAGCGAGATCATACAAATTGTACGTGGTTTGTTTCTATTATTTCACCTGCTGATTTCTGGCTTTAGATTACTTGTCGCATGTCACATCTCACCAGTCAGGTGAAAGGGAAGGTTCGTTCACTTATCAAGAATATTTACGGCTTCGAGCATGGCAGTCGGGAGTCTGTCAAGTCCAGGAATCGCAGACTGGCCCGTCAGCTCAAGAACAAGTTTGGTCTATGTTATCAGGTGAGTGATTAATACGCTGGATCATATAGTCTACTTAGACTTTGTTGGAAGAACCTTGGAGACGAGAAAACTAAGGTCCCTCGCAGTAGGCCTTTTCGCATGAAGTTGAATCAGAAAGCAGCAAATCTGCTCTGGTATAGTAACAAGAAAGACGAAGGGGTAATGTTTGAGAAGCTTTTTACTCCGTTTCCCATTCCTGCCTTGGCATTAGTGTACACAGCGGTGAGTCATGTGTTTACTGGTTTGGTTCTGATATTAACATCTATGTCAGGCAGAATGTTGTGTCGACGAATGGGTTGACAGTGAGCGAACAGATATTAGTTTTTTGTGTGGCGAGTACAAGGAGGCTTATGACAAGCACCTTGCTAACCTCAACAAATTCCACTTGTGAACGAAGGACCACAGCATACTCGATGGTATCCTGAAGGAGATTAATGATAATGGGAGGTAAGGGTCTTTCTTTTTTGGAAATCTCGCAGTCTTGCTGATGATGGTACAGAATCCATGCAAAAGTAGATCCAGCTGATGTCGGAGATGCAGACTGTCTCTCGGATGATGAGATTCACAATGCCATTCATGAATATCAGCAGGGCAGTGGTGTGAATGAGACTGATGATGAGGATGAAAATGAAGGTAGTCAATCTGAGGATAACGGATGCGAAGACGAGTAGAATAATGAATAATGAATGCATATCCAAATTGTTCTCATTTGTTTGAGTGGTATCACTGGTATGAACTATGTTGGCTTACTATTGGAGGCTATGTGGCGCTACATAGCAGGGCTATATAGCTGATGTATGAGATACTGGATACAATGTAGCACAATTAATCATATAGCCTGAGGTATATAGCGCTATGTAGGGGGGGGACCTGCAATGAGGCTACGAGTTGTATATAGCCTATGTAGCACTATGTAACACTTCAATTTTTTCCTGATGTGAGCTCATCGGCCAACTTACAGTCTCCAGCTCGTGTCATCAGCAGCATACTCATGCAAACACTCAATCAGGTCAGCTTTCTTCCCGCTTGTCTGCAGGCCATATTCCTTCAACTTTTCCCTCAGCGTCTTCACAGTTGTGTCCTGCTGTCTGCAACATTCACAAGTTAGTGGCCACCATTGCAGTGAGTAACAAAGATGAACCAACATCACGAACTCCACCATCTGTGGTTGCTCATTTGCTCCCAACATCTTTCCCAGCTCAGGCAGGCATATGATCTCAGCAGCAGGCATGCTAATGATGCAAATAAATGTGCATGCAAGATGAGGTGTCATCTGCCAAGCCTTCCAGTTCAAATTAAGGTTGTCGATCGGCGATCACAGAGGTTAGTGGCTTTTTTAAATATTGGAACATGTTGCCCTCATTCACAATTGAACCAAGATGCCTTGTATACGTATTCCCCTACTGGGAGGTGCAAAATGTTATCTCACAGATGCCGCAGCAATGGTGACCTATGAGGCTGTTGCTGATGACCAGGAAGAAGAAATCGAGTCCTTGATGGCTGCTGTTGACATCGAACACAAGCAGCAAGAGTCGAGCGGCACATATCTGTGCAAGCAAGCTAAACCGTCAAAGAAGCACAGGCTGGATGTGGATGATATGTCAAAGAACTTGAAGATGACATCCCAGCATGTTGTTGTGAGCAACACTCTATCAGAGTACAGAAGGTATGACACCCCATCTCATGCCACTTCCACAAGGCAAAGCTCTGATAGATCACCACACAGGCTCTGGGAGCAGTTCAAACAATTTTGCTGTGACATCGACAAGGTGAAGCATCCCAATGATGTTGAGGCACTGTACCCAAGTCTCCCAGCTGATTTCTAGAGCTGATGACATTAATATCTGCACTGGACAGGCAAAGGAACTTAGCATATCGTGTGTTACTTATGCCACAGCTCAAAAAATGCGGGCAGCAATCAGTCACAAGTACGGATGTGACCACAGACTCAGTACACAGCCCTGGCTGGAGGATTCCCTGCAGCCTGGTCACTTCCGGGGAAATCCATCACTCTCGGTGACGGTATCACAGTACATGATAAGTTTGGGCCGCCGAAAGGTAGGCCCTTGTCTTCAGGAAGGTGCACACTCACATTCCCATACACTACTCAGGTTCGAGCAGGAGAGGTGGTCACAAGTGCACATGCAATGGATGAACAGACTATGAAGGAGCTGTATGAATACAATGTCAATTTTGCCAATGAGGACTTTGGTCCGACACCAAACAAACGGAAAGCCAAAGCACCCCAGAGCTGGGCAGGCTCTACAGTTTGACTCATGCTGCAGCTGATGTTCATCACTGCCATGCTCTTGCTGCTCTGGTTCAAAGAGGTTCTTTGCATCACATGGAGTGATGTCTGGTTCGAGTACTATCAGCCACGACGGCATCGAATCAGGCTCATGCTCCCTTTTCACAAGACTCATCAATATGGAGGTCAGTTCAGAAGAAAATTACTCCGCTCGTTTACAACTCACCCAATGCAGGTATTGTGCCATTCTTCCTATATGAAAATCCTGAGAAGCCATGGATGTGCCCAGTTTGTGCATGGGCAGCTTGGTGGCATCACTGTCGGTGTCTTAATAACCGAGGGTCTTATATAAAGTCGTGTAAATGTAATGACACCACAATTACACTTTGGATAAGACTGCTTGCCAGTCCTCGATTAACACGGTCTACGACTTTTCCTATTTCGTGGTAGATAACGTGTGAGTTCTTGGGAGGCTCGCTAAACTAATCTTTTTATAAAGATCAACCTAGCCGGAGCTTTACTTTTCTTTATTGAAACTCAAATCTCTTGTCTAGGAATAAGCTTCTAGACACGTAATTCGGTTTCTGGAATGTATTTGCCTAGGAAATCTCCTTCTAGGCTCTGGACTTGGATACTGGAACTAGTGAGATGTGGTCTCAAATATACGAAATATGACCAAGATCGCTTGGTCTATGGACACCTGACTGTGAGACAATGGTCTCAAATATACAATATATGTTCAAGATCGCTTAAACAAAGGGGACTATAACTTGACCAAGATCGCTTGGTCTATGGGACAACTAGTGAGACGTGGTCTCAACAATATGATAGATGACTAAGATCGCTTAGTCAAAGGGCACAGAGCAATGAGACAAAAGGGTCTCAAAGACAATATATGTGACCAAGAATGCTTGGTCTATAGCACTAAATAAGTTTCTAAGGTAAGAAACTTATAATCTCAAGGGAATTCTTTTCCCTGCACTTGTCTCACTTCAAAGGAACTAACTTTGCAAGTGAAATATCTGATAGGCAGATTGCTACAAATGGGAGATCATATTTGTTGGGGGGGAGAATGGGCTCTCCTTATATACATTTTGTGTGGGAAAGTAACCTAGGTTCACAAACAATAAAAAATAAGGAGGACCAATCAAAATATTGGGTCAAACCCAATAAAAGATTAAAATACAAGTGAAAGATGGAGCTATGACATCATTGTGGAGCAGAACATTCTGGAATGTGGAGTAATGACATCATAATGACATCAAGAGTGACATCATTGTGGAGCAAAAGATTCCAGAACCTTCCATGAGTGAGTCAGAGTGAGTCATTGTGGAGCAGAATATTCTAGAAGGAAATGACATCATGGATGATGTCATTGTGGAGTAGAATAATCTAGAGCTTGATGACATAATATCTTTCAACAGAATACCTGCAGGAGTATCTGTGGAGTCTTATGACATCATAATGACATCATACCCTATGGGTACAATTTTATGAAGTGTCAGGTGAGTCAAAGCATCCTAATGAAAAAGTAAAGTAAAGAAACACTAGAGAAAAGTAGGTAGCAAAAATAAGACAGTTGGCAGGAATTGAAACACAGTCAAAAAAATAATGCAGTTGGCAGGAATTGAAACACGGTCTTTTTGGATAGGTTTTTTATTGGCTTTGTACTTTTCTCTATGGTTTTCTCTAGCCAAAGTGAATAAGCCAAAGGCAAGGCTATACCTTAACCTTCATTTCCCTTCTCACATCAACTAGGTCTAAATGTGATTCCCATCTCACATTAGACTTTTTCCGTCAAAACGTATTCAGATCATGAAACTTGGGGAAAACTGGAAATATGGACCATGGTTTGAAACCAAGGTATGGGTTGACTAGTCTGAGGACTAAGCTAGCAGACTTTATCTTTTGAGGGGCACCTAGTATTCATGTCCATGCATGATTCCCACATCATGCAGGACATCGGTATCTCGGTCTTGACATGAATGGCTATGTTTTCCGCACAAAAATGGGACGAGATGGTGTTAGCACAAACCCTCATGATGGGATGGTGAGCTATCATGGTCCTCAGTCCTCGATCCCACTAATTTGCTGTTGCAGACTGCAGATTCCTTCCTTGAGTGCTTCCACAATAACCTGCTCGATATTAGCATTGACCCCCGGCCATATGGGACTCATTCTTTCCGTCGCGGAGGTTGTCAGTACCTGGCCATGGTGCTTCGGTGGCCACTCCATCAGATATGCACATGGGGGGGCTGGGCAGAGAATTTTGATAACCCTGGCACTATTTTCAAGTACCTTCTCTCATGGACTGATGCACCCCAGCTCCAGCGAGAGGACTACTTCAATCCCGATCGAGCTGGGAGTGATCCATGTACAGCTTGTGGCTGTACTTGCACCTGTGCATGAGTTCAGTAATTCAGTAGTAAATACAGACAAAGAATATTAGAAAAGGAATGCAAACTCGGAGCCATCCATTGGTGTGGAGATAGCGTGATTCCAGAGACATTAAAGACACAGTTAGAAACTCAGAGCCGTGCATCAATGGCAAAGATAGTGTGATTTTGGAGATAATGGTAGATATCAAGTAGCTTGAGTGAGAGTGGGATGGTAGGAAATATCAAGACTAAATAGGACGAGCTTGAGCAAGAGCAGGATGGTAGAAAATATTAAGACCAGATAGGATGAGCAAGAGCAAGAGCAAGAGAGATAGTAGAAAATATTAAGACCAGATAGGACGAGCAAGAGTGAGAGAGGAATGATAGTAAATATCAAGACCAGATAGGATGAGCGAGAGCTTACCTAGGAAAGACACGAGCTAGAGGGGTATGCCAGTAAATATTAGACCTGTTATAGGATGAGCTTGAGCGAGTTACCTATCACCAAAGGGAGACAGCTAGCCCAGAGTCAACCTAGGATCGTGAATTTTGAGACCATGAATTTTTCATGGCGTGAGAGCTTCTCACCTCGAATTGGCTGGTGCACCTGCGAAAAAAGGGCAATGACGCAGACGGCTTTGCATTGAGAAATTCACGGTCCACTGTGAGAACTTCACAGTCTGCATCAGCGGCTGCTCGGTTAGCGCTGGAGCTTTCATTTCGGCTCTTACCTTGTCACTGCCACATCTCAAACTTCTGATCTGCTCCTCCTCCCATGCCTCTCCTTTCCTTTCCGACCTGTCTCGCGTTCGTCAGCAGGCACCCGTTGACGTTGTCTGTCGACATTCCCAAGTATCCAACATTTCCGGCCACTCGTTTGTCCTCGACGGTGCTTGGTGATCCCATTCCCCCAGTACAGCACGCACCCATTCCCTTTCAGGAAAGGCTGATGTAAGCCTGTGCTGCGACGGTGAATTTCCTCGTTTGAAACTGTTCTTCTCAGTGACTTAAGACAGCCTAGGTGATCAGAGAATTGAAGATCTCATTGCAAATATTGATTCCTAATTAAGATGCTAACATCACAAGAAATGGATTGTGAAACATAGTGATAATATCATCAGGAAAACCCTCCAGTGCTAATTAGAGGTTTTTAGAACTGATACTGCATTATTATGTCTAGATTTTCCAAATTCAAGTTTTAGCAGGTTTAATCACTTTAATCACCCCCTAACAAAAACACAAGAATTAGAAAGAATTTGAAGTCATTCTTTGATATATGATTCAAATTACATATTTAAATTCAAAGCCAGTAATGCCAAGGGTGCATATGCTAAAGAAGTCAGACCATTCAGTCAAAATAACACGTAGAACCTGTACCCAGGACGCGCCAAAAGGCCCTAGAACCTGGCCAGCCCTACTAAATTATGTAGAAATGGTACTGGCTGGTGTGTAGAAGCTGTCCAAGATTCTGTGTAAGATCAGTGCCAGCCAGACATGTAGGAGTAGTGCTAGCCAGAGCACTATTATTTTTTCTATATGTAGAACCTGCACTGACTAGTATGTAGGAGTGGTGCTGGCCAGAGCACTATTATTTTCTGTAGATACGTAAAACCTGTACTGGCCAGACTGTAGGAGTGGTGCTGGCCAGAACACTATTATTTTCTGCACATATGTAGAACCTGTACTGGCCAGACCTTTTACCATAGACACTTTTATGGGCAAATGCCATTTCACCCCTATTTGCTGGCTTTCACAGCTGCATTTTTGGTATTTTTCAAACTCAACTGTTTTGTTATTATTCCAGGATTCATTCTATATTTGGTGATGTGTATTCATATGATATGACTGCAATTTTGGCCTCCAAAAATGGAAATTCATAAAATACATTCTATTTTTGTCACCTCCTCATATTTTGGCCTCCCCACATTATTCCCACACTCCGCATTTTCACATTTCTCAGCCACATACTGTGAGAATTACCCCACAACACCCAAAACATCACCCATTTTGGAAATCTCCATAATATCAATTATTCCCACAGCCTCCCCACCTCACTGCAGGTTTATCACTGCACCACAATAGGCCCTTCTTGTAGCTATGTAGTAGTTTGGTATATATATGCACAATATAATGTAACATACCGCTTTTTTGCTCATCTGTGTGCATACTTCTCCTCCAGGTATCATTCAACATAGGGTGGAATACAGAACACTTTTGCATTTTTGCCACTTTGATAGGGAAATGTTCTGGGAAATTCAGAACATATTTAGGAGTATATATGAAGAGATTTCTACCTTTATTTCACCCCCTAAAGCGCCCTACATAGATAGATACAGCATACATACATGAAAATACAAAATATGTTACCATATGATCATTTGTAGGTGGATAACCTTAAAGAAATGATTTATAACATCTGTTAAACAATAGGCACAATGTATCAGGAGCTCAGGATCAAAGGAGAATATCTTGTGGTATAGTGTATCCCCCTCTTCTGGTGGTTTACCCTCTGTGAGACTTTTTCCTGCAGGACTGGATCTTAATTGAGGTGAAGGGTATATTACTATGTATATTTGAAGTGGATCTATCATATAGCTAGCACATGACACAGATAGGATTCTTCTACAGAAACAAAAATATAAAAAATCATATTTTTGACATTTTTGATGTTTTTAAGCATCTTACTCTTGCATAAATGCCAGCCCTGCTCATATATCATTAGTAGTACATTCCACATGTGATTTATGCCAAGGATCAGCTGTATATAGGGTGCACATTTGATATCTGATATAAAGGAAGTATTTCTACTGATAAGAAGCCCATACTTTCAAAACATTGCAATTTAATAATCAGACACCTGGAGTAGATTTCAGATACCTTCACTATCATATATCTCAATTTATAAAACAATCCAACAATTATTGAGTGCTGAGGAAGTGAAATAGATAAGAAATTGAGTGTGGGAAAGTTCAAATGCCCAAAACATCAAAAATAGTCAGTTGAGTAGTGGTTGGACTTTAATGCTGGGTTCACTCAGTTTCACACCACATCTCTTCCACCTACCCTCTACACTCAGGGCACTATGTAGTATAGGTTCCTTCAGTACTATACCATTATCCTGTATATTTTTAATGAAATATATGAGCTGTACCATATATGAATGTAACTTTGTGTGAAAAGATGTTAATTGTGACTTTTCACACATATGTCATTTTACTTGCCATTCAGTCAGCCCTTCATGGATCTTCTTAAAACTTCAAATATATTATCAGGGACATATATGAGAGGTATCCCAGGTCTTTAATCAGTGATCACAGGCTTGATTACTATGTAGGCTTCTTATCAGTGGAATTACCCCCTGTACATCAGATATCAAATTTGCACCCTATGTAGGGCTGATACTTGGCATAGAACATATATTAGAATGTACTACTGATTATATATAAGCAGGGCCAGTTAGTTATGCAAGGGTAAGGCAGTTAAAAACATCAAAAGTGTCAAAAATGAGATTTTCTATGTTTTTGTTCCTGTAGAAGGATCCTATGTGTGTTCTGGGCCAGCTATGCAACAGGGTGTTATCCTATGATCCTGGGCTCCTGATACATTGTTCCTATTGTTGAATAGATGCTAGGAATAATTTTCCCAAGTCTGTTCACCTATAAATGATCAAATGGGAGCATATTCTGTGTTATCTTGCATATATGCCATATTTATTGATGTTAGACGCTTCAGGGGGTCAAATAAAAGTGGGAATCTACTCATATATGCTCATAAACATGTTCAGAATATCATGGAACACTTTCCCACCACAGGGGCAAAAATGCGAAAGTGTTCTGTACCCTATCTGTTGGAAGAACTGAGAGTTCAAAGTCAATGCACTTGATATTATTGTGTAAATAAGTAAAGTACTGTACCTGAGAGTTCAAAGTCAATGCACGAAGCATGTAAGACTTGTGAACTCTGCACTATGGGCGAGTCTATGTAAACAAATATAAACAATTCCTAGTATGGTATGTGTCCTCGAAGTGTCTTAGAGGTCTGTCCTCAAAGTGTCCTCGAAGTCCTCGAAGTCCTCTACTAATATAGTAATGTCCTTGAAGTGTCCTCGAAGTCCTCGAAGTTATCTACTAATATAGTAATGTCCTTGAAGTGTCCTTCAAGTCTTCGAAGTCTTAGAAGTCTTCGACCTATCTGGTGTGAAGTCACCACACAACTAACACTCCCCCCTGACTGCACACATCTCTAATCTCTAACAACTCCCCCCTCATCTGTGTAGTCCCATCATCCTGCAAAATAGTTCCACCTTGGGTCGACTCAAAGACTTTGTCAAGATGTCGGCTGGCTGATCAGCTGTGGGCACAAAGATAGGCGCAATTATCTCTTTGTGAACAACGTCTCTGAGCCAATACCAACTAAGATCCAGTTGCTTCATCCTCCCGTGGTGTTCTGGGTGTTTGGCAACAGATATGGCGCTCTGGTTGTCTATTCTAAGTATGGATGGTGCAGTGGTGGAGAATCCCATCTCCTGCAGCAAGTTTCGCATCCATCAGATCTCCTTGCCTGCTGAGACTGCAGAGATGTGCTCTGCTTCAGTAGTAGATAGCGCAACAATGCTTTGTAGCTTAGAAGACCACGAGACGACTCCAGAGCCAATCTTCACCAAGTATCCACCAGTGGAGCACCCTGTGTCCTTGCATCCACCATGATCAGCATCGGAATAGGTTGAGAACAGTTCGGTGCTTGATGGATCAGGCGCATAAGTGATCTTGTAGTCGGCAGTACCTCTGAGATAGCGAAGCAGGTGCTTGACAGCTTGCCAGTGAGCTAATCCTGGATTCGAGTTGAATCTGGCAAGATAACCAACAGCGTGGGCAATGTCTGGTCGAGTTGTTGTTGCCAGGTACATCAGGGCGCCTACTGCAGCCAGGTATGGGACGGTCTTCATGAGCTGGACCTCTTCAGGCGTCTGGGGGCTCTGGGAGCGACTGAGTCGAAGGTTGGGCTGCATGGGAGTGGATATGGGCTTGCAAT